TTTTTTTCATAGACACAGAGAACATAGCTTACATATACATACAAAGACATGTTTAGGGAACTAAAAGTCAGCCAGTACCTATTGAACACTGAAAATAATGATATAATGATAGTATAATACATGGCTATATGTCAGGCCAAGCAGAGCCTTATACTCACTCTATGTTATAGACTTTGTTCTTTAGTCGAAGAATGATAGGATATTGCTTAAGGGTTTTAAACTAAAGCGATGTTTGATTATTGAGTGAATTTCCTAGATAGGGAATAGAATGAATACAGGAAAAAAAGTTAGGAGGCTACTGCAGTGGTTTTTTGTTTTGTTTTGTTTTCCTAAGAATGATAACTAGGATTGTATTAGTGATTGGAAATGGAAAGAATTTGACAGATTCAAGAGAGTTTTCAGGTAAAATAGATTCAACTTGGAACACAGTGTTCAGATTATTTTTAGCAGAAGTTCTCAGAAATGGATTTTGGGGCACAGAGGAGAGAATTATTTTAAAAGCTTGTGTTAGATATGAAATTGCTTTCCAGATATATAATTTCAGCATTTTCCCCACTGATAATATATTTAGTGCTGTATACCCCTACCAGTAAAGAACATCTTTTTTCTTTTCTAGACATTGAGCTATTATTTTATTTTTGAGTGGGGATTGTTTCACCAACTATAATAATATAGTAATTTTAGAAAATTATTATGTTTGATCTCCCATTTTGGTTTCAGAAAGTATGTTTGGGGGACTGGAGAGATTGCTTAGTGGTCAAGAACACTTGATCTACAACCATGAAGACCTGAGTGTGGCCTGCTTTTTCATCTCCCAGTGCTATAGAAAAAGAAACAAGAGGGTTGCTGGATAACATTAACTGCCAACCTTGCAGAAAAAAAAAATGTAAATTTCAGGTTTACCTCAAAGGAATAAGGCAGTTAGGGGTAGATTTAGACAGCTGCTTCTGGTCTCCATACATTGGTGTACAAGCACAGACATCCATACATACACCTGGGCCTACCACACACACACACATACACACACACACACACACACACACACACACACACACACACACATACACACACACAAATGTTAATTCGGTTCTTACAATTCTCTGATATGTGATTGGTGAAGATCTTTTCCCATTTAGTAGGCTGCCTTTTTGTCTTATTGACTGTGTCCTTTGCTTTACAGAAGCTTCTCAGTTTCAGGAATTCTCGTTTATTTATTGTTGCTTTCAGTGTCTGTGCTACTAGGGTTATACTTAGGAAGTATCTCCTGTGCCCATGCATTGAAAGCTACTTCTCACTTTCTCCTCTTTCAGGTTCAGTGTGGTCTTTAATCCATTTGGACTTGAGTTTTGTGCATGATGATAGATATTGGCCTATTTTCATTCTTCTACATGTTGACATCCAGTTATGTCAGCACCATTTGTTGAAAATACTTTCTTTTTTCCATTGTATAATTTTAGCTTCTTTTTCAAAAATCAAGTGTTTATAGGTGTGTGGATTAATATCCGTTTTTTCAATTCGATTCCATTGGTCAACCTGTCTGTTTTTATGCCAACACCAAGCTGTTTTCATTACTGTAGCTCTGTAATAGAGCTTGATGTCAGGGATGGTGATGCCTCTGGACGTTTCTTTACTGTACAGGATTGTTTCAGCTATCCTGGGTTTATCATTTTTCCATATGAAGTTGATTATTGTTCTTTCAAGGTCTGCGAAGAATCATGTTGGGATTTTGATGGGGATTCTGAATGTATAAATTGCTTTTGGTAGGATTGCCATTTTTATTGTGTTGGTTCTACCTGTCCAAGAGCATGGGAGATCTTTCCATTGTCTGGTATCTTCTTCAATTTCTTTCTTCAAAGACTTAAAGTTCTTGTCAAATGGGTCTTTCACTGTTGCAGGAAGAGCCGGCTGCTCGTCGTCCTGACTGCCCAGCTATTTTACACCCAAAATAATCACACAGAAACTGTATTCATTTAAACACTGCCTGGCCCATTAGCTCTAACTTCTTATTGGCTAATTCTTACATCTTAATTTAACCCATTTCTGTTAATCTGTGTATCGCCATGTGGCTGTGGCTTACCTGCAATATTCTAACCAGCATCTGTCTCAGACCAGAGATCTGCCACTCTGTCCTTCTTCCCAGCATTCATTTCTGTCTACTCCGCCTACCTAAGTTCTGTCCTATCAACTAGGCCAAAGCAGTTTCTTTATTCAACCAATAAAAGCAACACATAAACAGAAGGACCTCCTACACCATTTCACTTCCTTGGTTAGTGTTACCCCAAGATACTTTATGCTATTTGTGCTATTGTGAAAGGTGATGCTTCTCTGATTTCTTTCTCAGCTTCTTTATCATTTGCATATAGGAGGGCTACTGATTGTTTTTAGTTGATCTTGTATCCTGCCATATCACTGAATGTATTTATCAGCTGTAGAAGTTCCCTAGTAGAATTTATCATATCATCTGCAAATAGCAAAAGTTTTATTTCTTCCTTTCCAATTTGATTCCTCATGATCTCCTTTTGTTGGCTTTTTACTCTAGCCAGAACTTCAAGAACTATGTTGAAAGGTGGTGGCGCACGCCTTTAATCCCAGCACTCGGGAGGCAGAGGCAGGCGGATCTCTGTGAGTTCAAGGCCAGCCTGGTCTACAAGAGCTAGTTCCAGGACAGGAACCAAAAAGCTATGGAGAAACCTTGTCTCGAAAAATCAAAAAAAAAAAAAAAAACACGAACTATGTTGAAGAGATATGGAGAGAGTGGATAGTCTTGTCTTGTTTGTGATTTTAGTGGAATTGCTATGAGTTTCTCTCCATTTAATTTGATGTTGGCTGTCAGCTTGCTGTATATTGCTTTTATTGTGTTTAGGTATGTTCCTTGTATCCCTGATCTCTCCAAGACCTTTATCATGAAGGGTTGTTGGATCTTGTTGAATGCTTTTTCAGCATCGAATGAGATGATCATATGTTTTTTTCCCCAATGTATTTATCTGGTGGATTGCATTGATAGATTTTTTTATGTTGAACTATCCCTGCATCTCTGGGATGAAGCTGACTTGATCATGGTGAATGATTTTATTTGGATGTGTTCTTGGAATTGGTTTTTCTATATTTTATTGAGTATTAGTTTAAAAATATGTATGCCCTATGTTTCCATGTCACTACTGAATGACTCTTTTAGCAGTATGCAGATGACAATAGATGAAAGTGACAAGATGAAGAAAAATGATTATAAGATATGTGTTTTTGTGCTGGGGTGCAAGCTTGAACTTTCTGTGTAGTCAAGGATGACTTTGAGTTTCTGATCTTCCTTCCATCACATCTTGAGTGCTGGAATTGGAATTATAGACATGGTCCACTGTGCCTAGTTTCATGTGGTGATAGAAATCAGATCTGGGATCTCTTCATGTTAGGCAAGAACTCAACCAACTGAGCTATATCCCTAGTTCAGAAATGAGATGTTGTCTTTCAAATCTACATGGGTAGTAGAAAAAGGCACGATCTCCTAAGTAAATTGACAGAGGGATGAAGGGTAGGAGAGAGGCAGGGATAGGAGCAGAGCAGTATGTAGAGCTCAATAAAAATCTGTTTAAAAAGAAACATCGATAATTCAAATGGGAACAAAAAAGAAATGAGTGACATTGAAAAAGCAGTTGAACTTGCTTCTTTTCTCTCCAAATTTTTTTAAATAAATTTCTTCATTTATTTATTTTATGTCCCAGCCACAGTTTCCCCTCCTTCCTCTCTTCCCAGTCTCCCAGCCCCAACCCCCTCTGTTCATACTTGCCAATCCACTCTTTCCTTTCTCCATTTCTGTTCAGGAAAGAACAGGCCTCCCATGGATATCAAAAAAAAGCAAGGCATGTCAAGTTGCAGTAAGACTAAGCACCTCCCCATATATTAAGGTTATACAAGTTGACCCCGTATGAGGAGTTAGGTCCCAAAAGCCAGTAAAAGAGTCAGAGACAGCCCCTGTTCCCACTGTTAGGAGCCCCACAAGAGGACCAAGCCACACAACTATAACATAAATGCAGAGTTCCCAGAATGGTCCTATACAGGTTCCCTGGTTGTCGATCCAGTCTCTATGAGCCACTGTGAGCCCAGGTTAGTTGACCCTGTGAGTTTTCTTGTAGTGTCCTTGACCCCTCTGGCTTCTACAATCCTTTCTCCCCCTCCCCCTTTTCAGCAAGATTCCCTGACCTACACCTAATGTTTGGATGTGGGTCTGCATCTGTTTCCATCAGTTGCTGGATGAAGCCTCTCTGATGACAATTGGGCTAGGCACTCATATATGTGTATAGCAAAATATCATTAGGCTTCAGTGTATTGACATTTTCTCCAGTTTGGTTCTATTTTAGGTCTCTGGGTCATCCAGCCTGTGGATCCTGGCACTTGAGTCAGTGTCAGGGGTATGCTTACTCTCCTGACATGGGTTTTAGACTCAACTAGTCATTGGTTGGCCACTCCTTCAATCTCTAGGCCACTCTTACCCCAGTATATCCCATTGACATGGCAGACTATAGGTTGAAGGTTATGTAGCTGAGTTGGTTTCCCACTCCCTCCACTTGGAAGTCTTGCCTGGAATTAGGAGATGGCCAGTTCAGTCTACATATCTGCTTTTACTATGAGTTCTAGTTGGGGTCATCCTTAGATTCAGAATGGAAAATATGTCTGTAATGTTTTCATTCATTTTTTAGATATTTATATAATTCTACAAGATTAAAGTTTGACTGTGGCTAGTGAGAGCTTGGTTGATAAAGACACTTACAGCCAAACCCAGGGACCTGAGTTCAATTCCAGGGGCCCACCTGGTAGAACTAAAGAACTGATTCTTGAAAATTGTCTTCTGACCTCCATATACATGCTTTTCCTTGCATGCACTAATACACACACACAGATAACCAAAATTATGAATGAATGAATATATTATAATAATTTTGTTATAATATATATAGGAAAAGTGGCATTACTTCCTGCTTACTGCTTTGTTTTCTCTCTTTCCACAGTTAAAAGATGTTGATACTAGGAAAATTATTAAAGCAATGCTTTCTTATGTGTGGCCCAAAGACAGGCCAGATCTACGAGCCAGAGTTGCCATCTCCCTGGGATTTTTAGGTGGTGCAAAGGTAAGAATATGCTTTGTTAAAAGATACTGTAACTTTTTCTAGCAAGTAAATTACTGTCAGTGGAACATGGCCAACTTTTGGGACTTTGCTTATTTTACATAATTGTTTCATTCATTGAGCAGAAATTGTATGATACTAGGAGATTTTTTTCTGAATCAAAAGTCTGTGTTATCTTAATGGAATTCACTCGTAAAACAAGTATATGAGATGCAGAAATATTGGTTGTAAGAAAGCATAAATGAAAAAAAAATAAGAGCCACAAAAACTGAATGCTTTCAGTATACAGACCCCTTTAAGTTTTAAATGCATGTGTTCTTTTATTTGTTAATTTTGTCCCCTGCCCTGAAGTATTTGAGAACATATACAAAATACTATTTTTGGTTGTTCACTGTTGGTATTCAAATGTGAAAGGTAAAATATTCATACATTCTGAAGAGAAACCAGTGTATAGGTATTCAAATGTAAATGAGAATGTAGATAAAGCAAATTTCTTCCTTAAATCATACAGGAGTAAGGTAAATTTTGTTTTATTATTGTAAGACATGATGGGTCATAAAGGATTCAAAGAAGTGCTATTCAAGTGTTGTGGTATTTTAGAGGAAAGATGGGGGGGAACCACCATGGTGAGGAGCCAGGAAAGATCTTACAGAGGAAATGACATCCTTTACAGTCCTGTATAAGTCAGATTGTTAGATAAGTAGAGATAATTTGAACAGTGGCCTAGTGAGAACATATAGTATGTGTGCAGAAGTGCATAGCCTATCTTGGCTCCATTGAAAGGATGATACTTCAGCAGAAGTGAGCTTAGAGAAATAATATGATTTCCTAATATGAAATCCCTTTACTATAAAGCAAGTAATTTATAATGTGCAAAATAAGAACTTCACTTTTGAGTACTATATTAATATGGTTAGAAGTATGCTTTAAGAAGTTAATCTGACTCTATTTTAGAAGATGGAATAAGGTAATAAAAGATTTACTCTGAGGATACATACCATCCATCCATTCATGTCTTCATATGGCAAATATTTATCAACTAGTTATGAGACCAGTGTAATAGTCTGGGTAACAAGTAACAGCAGACTGTACTGTACAGAAGTCATGGTAGAAAAGTGATTGTGGAAGGGAAAGATGCCAGAGATATTGTACGATATAATTAAGACATGGCAACAGATTGGTTATTAGGAGTGAAATAGTAAAATTCAAAGGTGATGTTAGGAATGCAAGAATGATAATGCTTTCAACAGAAGTAGGTAGTAAGTCAAATCTTGTTTGTAGAGTGACAATTTTACTTTTGGACATGTTGAAATGCTAGCAGAACTAGATAGAGAGCAGTACATTCAGTGCTGCAAATTGTGGGGCAAGCTCAGGAGGCAGGAAGATGTTGGAGAAGTAAAGAGATGATAGTAGAGAGATTACAAATTAAGTTGATTACCAAAGAAACAAACAGAGGGCAGAACTTACGTTCTATACAGAGGAAACAGTAAAGTAAGTAATTGAAAAGATAAAAGTAAAACCATAACCTAACTCTTTATTTTCAGTTCTTCTTTCTCAGCTGTGAGCTCTGTTGAGGACCCTCACACTCAATCTGACCCATTCCTGAAATAAGTGTGTTCTTAAATCAGGCTATTATGTAACAGATCATGAGTCCATACTTCACTGTATTTGTTTAAGCTGAATAGAGGGCTATATTAGCGATTAATTTGGTAGATAATGTTGAATTTTTTCACTTTTATGTTCATTTTAGCAGTGTTGGTTGGTGGATTATCTTTTACATACAAATTATTAAGGACAAAACTGATTCTAAGCTCTTATGCAAGGCGAAATTAGTGAATTGGCCTTTATTTCTTCATTAGCTGAATGCAAGTACCTTGTTAACAAGTAAAAGGCAGATGGTTTTGTGGACTTTCTTGAGAATTGAAGAGGGCAGGTTAGAACATGACTAATTAGTCTAGCTATAAGGAAGAGTCTCCAGTAATGACATTTACATTAGGATTTATTTTTAGTGTATACCAGTCCTTCAAAAATACAGATTTCTGTTGCTTGGTGACAGGTCAATATCAAGGTGTGAAATCTAGCTAAACTAACATAGTTGTAGATTAAAATATTTTTAGAATGCTAATATTTGGATCTTCACTCAAAAATAGAACTCATAGAATGGAAATTGCTGTTCCAAATTCTTTTTTTTCTTTTCTTTTCTTTTCTTTTTTTTTTTGATTTTTGAGACAGGGTTTCTCCATAGCTTTTTTTTTGGTTCCTGTCCTGGAACTAGCTCTTGTAGACGAGGCTGGCCTCGAACTCACAGAGATCCACCTGCCTCTTCCTCCCGAGTGCTGGGATTAAAGGCGTGCGCCACCACTGCCTGGCCCTGTTCCAAATTCTTGCATATTAACTAGAAGTCAACAAGAATGTACAGACAAACTCTTTTAAGAGTATGTTTGGTTCCTAGTAGATCTGAAAAAGGAAGAGATTGGTGGAAATTATGATGAGTGCCTCTAGAAAATAGCATATAGAAAACACTTCTCTTTTTCTTAACTTTTTAAAAAATTGAAAACAGACTCTTCTTTTGTAGAATACCTCCCAACCAGTTTCACTTCCCTCAACTTCTAGCACCCCTCCACCTCCCCTTTAACCCAGGGCAACTCCCCTTCATTTTCCTCTTCAGAGAAGAGTAGGTCTCCAAGAGATGGAAGATAGCTAGACAAAACAAAACAAGATACAAAAAGACTATGCAAAAGTCCTCTTATCGAGACTGGACAAGGCACCCCAGTAGGAGGAAGAGAGTTCCAAGAGCAGTCAAGAGTCAGAGACTCCCACCTTATACACACAGAGGACCTGGTGCAGACTCATGCAAGTTCTCTGATTGTGAACCCATTTGAGCCCTGCTTAGTTGATTCAGTGGGCCATGTTCTCCTGGTGTCGTCCATTCCCTATGACTCATAAAGTCCCCCCCATTGGGTTCCTGATGTCCAAGGGGAGGGACCCAAAGGAGATCTCTAATTTAGACTCTTTCTGCATAATGTCTGGTTGTGGGTCTCTGTTTTCAGAGGGATGACTGTACAAGGTACCCATCTATGAGTATAGGAGAATATAATTAGGAATCATTTCATTGACTTTTTTCAGTTGTGTTTGGTTCTACCTTTTCTGGGCTATCCAGTTTCCGGTTCCTGGCCATCCAGGCGGTGTAGGGCATGAGGTTCCTCTCATGACATGGGCCTCAAGTTATAGCAGACATTGGCTACCCCCACATGTTCTGTGCCACCATTGCCCCAGCACATCTTACAAGCAGGACAGATTGTAGGTGGAGGGTTTTGTGAGTGGGTTGATGTCCAGGTTTCTCCTTCCATACTCTGTACAGTACCTTTTCACACTTGAGACTAGAATGTATGGGTGAAGGCTGCAAGCCCCCACCAGCTCGACATCTCTGAATTTGTGTTCATTAGGGTTTCTATTGCTGCAATGAAACACCAAGACCAAAAAGCAAATTAGGGAGGAAAGGGTTTATTTGGCTTACAATTTCACATTACTGCTTATCACTGAAGGAATTTAGTACACAAGCTCAAGCAGGGCAGGAATCTGGAGGTAGGAGTTCATGCAGAGTCCATGGAGGGGTACTTCTTATTGGCTTGCTTCCCTTGGCTTTCTCAGCCTGCTTTCTTATAGAACCCAGGACCACCAGCCCAGGGATGATACCACCCACCATGGGCTGAGACCATCCCCATTGATCATTATTTGAGAAAATGCCTTACAGCTGGATCTCATGGTGACATTTTCTCAATTAAGGTTTTCTTCTTTAAGGTACCCTTAGTTTTTATTTCAAATTGCATAAGAGTAGTCAGTACAATATTCTGTGAGCTTAGTGGAAGTTGTCCTCAGCAATGACCTCCCCGAAACACACACACACTGTCAATGTTCAGACGGTGACCTTCTGTCCTAGCATCAGGCTGGGTTGTTTAGAGATATTCTTGGGACCTCCTGGCCAACAACTCAACCAAATGTAACAATTTCCACCACTGGAAACCTTGCCTGGCTATAAAATATGATCAGTTAGTACTCCATATCCCATTACTTGGAATCCTCACTAGGGTCACCCTCATAGATTCCGGGAAGTTTCCACTGTAATAGGTATCTATTCACCCTGAAATGCTCCCCAATTTCAGTCATCTCTCCCAGTAGCCTCACTACACCTGATTTCTCCTGTTCCCATTCCCACCCACTCCCAGCTGACCCTCAGAATCTGTTCTATTTCCCCTTCCCAGGGAGATCCATGCTTCTCTCCTATACCTCTCTTCTTTACCTAACCTCTCTTGGTCTGTGGATTATAGATGGTTATCGTTTACTTAATGACTAATATCCACTTATAAGTGAATACATACTGTGTTAGTTTTCTGGATCTGAGTTACCCCAGGATGATTTTTCTAGTTGCATGCATTTGCCTGCAGATTTCACAAAGTCATTATTTTAACACTGAGTAGTACTCCATTGTGTAAATGAGTTTATATATCCATTCTGTTAAGGGACATCTAGGTTGTTTCTATTTTCTAGGTATTATGAATAAAGCCACAATGAATATAACTGAGCAAGTGTCCTTGTGTTTGGATGGAGTGTCCTTTGAGGATATACCCAAAAGTAGTATAGCTGGTTATTGCAGTAGATAGATTCCCAACTTTCTGAGGAACTACCATTTTAATTTCCATAGTGGTTGTACAAGTTTATACTCCCACCAGCAATGGAGGAGTGTTCCCCTTGCTCCACATTCTCACCAGCATGAGCTGTCACTTGAGAAAGAAACTTTTCATTTTATGAGGAATAATTTGGGGTATTAGGGCATAGTAGTAGTAGCAATGACCATTTGAGATAATATTTTCCAGTTTCTAAAAGCAATTAATCTTCCAAATATTTAAAAAATGATGATTGTTTTCCTTCTTAGCTGTTTTGTTATTGATATGCAAAGATGGATTGCTATACCTTTTCATCTCATTATTTTTCTTCAAAACTGA